TACATGAAAAAAATTCAAGCTTTGGAATTCTAGCATATTGTAAATGTGACTTAAAGCCATTTTTCATTGAAAGATAAAAATAGTACAGCTATTTGGTTACAATGATCAATTGTTACAATCACTTAGATTACATTACAATGCTTATAATATTACAAACAAATTCTTATTCTACTCTTCACAATTCCGGACCTAGACATGAAGCAACAATGGTTATAAGGGTTCTACGTCTTGTATGGGCTCCTTTTCGAGTGGTGTACTCGTTGCTTACGGGTCTCTCTTTTTCTATAATCTCAACATAAAATCTAAAAGTAGACTATCTCTCTCCTTAAATTGGGTCCACTCTAATCGGCCCCGAAATCCTCAATGTCATTCTCTGCATGATTTGTCTAAATGATAACCTACGGATACAAGAGTTAAGATTAGCATCATTTAAAGATAGTTCATGTCTTAAAAGTACAATCCTAATGGATAGGTTCTAGCTTTTCAAGAATTTTAGGCAAAACATGTCTAATCCTAAAATCTTTTCAAGTTTTTAGATTGTCTAAATTATCATTAAGGTAATTCAGCTTCTTCTCTTATACACCAAGATGTATGGGAAGGTCACTCTGTAATTGTTTTTTATGCATAAGGTGAGTTCCAATTCAAATGAAAATCTGGATAAGTATTAATAGACTTTCATCATACTTGCCTCCAAATCCCTCTATCTAAATCCAAAAGGATTTTTTAGCTCGGATGTAGAGCATCCGGAGGATTTTCTTTGTAATATGTGCAATAGTTCAAAGCAAATAAATCCAAGCCAATTCAAAAGATAAATATGTATAGAAATTAAAATACAAGAAAAATAAATTGCATAAAGTAAATAACTTGGAATTAAATAAATAATAAATAAATACGTAGAAATAAAAAATTAGATATAAATAACAAAAATAAATAAAAGAGATAAACTTTAAAAAGACTAAACCTATGGCTAACTCTAAATCGCTAGTAGAGTTGTCATTCCGTCGCTATCTCGATGTTCGTGAGACTCTTGAAAATTTAATAATTTATTTAAAAATTTTATTTATTTAGGAATATGAGCTATTTATAAATTTTGGAGTCACCATCTAGTATTAAAGGAATTAAAAACCTAAAATAGATAAGATTTTAGATTAAAGAGTTAGCTATGCCTTTTAGGAAGATATCAATTATCCAAAAGTATCATTTCTTAAGAAAGGTACCATGTCTAATTTAGTTTTAAAATTTATCTCCTAAGAATTTCTATTTTTCCAAAATCGATCCTAAGTTGAAATTCTAAATTTTATTTTCTTGGCTAGATTAATTCCTTTTTTTTTTTTGGCATAATATTGAATCGATTCTCAAACCCCTCTGTTAGATGTATTGTCAATTCAACATTGGATCTAGTTTAAGTCTTAACATAATTGATATGTTGGAGAATGATCTATTTACTATGATATGATTGATTTGAGTTAACAACGATCTATATGTGATAGGAGACTTTATTAATTTTTCCTTTAGTATTTTTTTTTATTTTTGCTTTTCTTTTTTTATCTTTTACCTATTTTCTCTTTTCTTTTTTCTCTCCTTTTTTTTATCATTTTATTATTTTTTTTATCTAATCAATTTTCATTTTTTTGTTTTTTATTTTATTTTCTCATATATATATATATTGTGTTGGTGGAGAATTGTCATCAATATCTAAAAATTAGGAGACTCGATGATTCATCCACCTATTAATTATCTAATCTAATTACTGAAATAAAACCTAAAATTAAACATTAACTAAATAAATAAATATAATAACTAAGAAATTTAAAATATTAAATCTAAACTAGGTATAAAATAAAGAGCATACTCGATCTAAACTTCCTAACTCTCATCTTTTTCTCATCTTTCTCGCTTCACTCGCCTTTACCATTTCTATCTCCTTTAACCTAGTTTTTCCATCCTCTCCATCATTCTCTCAATGCTTTCCTTAAACCAAATCGATTGACCTTCTATCTTCCCTTTCAAACCCAAAACTCCCTCATTATCCTATAGTTGAAATTGGATCTCTAACCCTTTATTCATTTTCTTTCTCTCTCTACCTTTCACTTGCCTAGGTTTCCCTAATTTTTTTGAGATCGAACGACCTCAACACTATTAACCCTCATCTCATAGATCCTTTCTCAATCACTCACCTTCTTACTTGAAATTCCGGAAAGCCTAATTCAAAATCATTTTCCCTTTTTTGCTTAGTCGATCTCCCGTAAAGATCGAGCTCTTAACCCATTTCCTCTCCTAGATCTTCCCTTAGACAACCTAAGATCTTAATTAATATTCCTTCTTTTTTTTTTTTTTTTTTGACTTATGTATCCCAAATCTTAGATCCAATTCTAGTTCCTACCCAATCTTGATCCTTTATTAAAACCTAAAATTAAACCTCGAATGTCTATAATCGAACCTTTTTACAACCCCGAGTCCTTATTTTCTCTCATGTCTTATGAATTTTTGATACCCGAATCATCTTTTTTTCATACTCTAACTTGAAATTTGAAAGCTAACCCGGAATCAAGTGGGTAACCCTAGAATCTAGCCTTCATGAATCGTCTAAATCCTTCTAACTAACCAAACCTACCATGATAGTGTTTGAAACTCGTGAGAGGTAGGGATTTTTGTAGGGTGACGAGTGATGGATATCACCACCATTGCTCATCCGAAAGCATTTAGGGATTACATTGATACAAATGGGAGTTGTAAGTTGAAAGGGAAAATCATCCTTGTGTCTAGTTGAGGGAACTTAGATCGAGATGGGCGATGGATGTTGGTTGTTCCAATTGATAAAGTAGTGTCTTGGGTGTTAGCTTCGAGTGCCTCCTCCTTTTAACCCTTTGGTAAGAATGCGAAACCATTGAGCTTCTATATGATTCAAATTTTTCCTTTCTTTTTTAAATTTGTTCTCTCAATTCTCTAACTATTTCCCTTCAATTTGGCTTTGCACAACTCTCTCCTTGCTCTTGCTCTAAACCCTAATTTTTTTATCTTTCTAAGCTCTCAATTCCTTTTCTTTCCTCTCCTAGAAACCTAATTGGACTCCTATTTATACCTAAAAATCCCCCGATCACTCATGTGACCAATTTCTATAACTCCAAAACTCCCCCACAAAGAACAAATTCTTTAGCTTTGGTGTCAATTTTGGCTCCGTATGAACAAAGCCAAAAGAAATATGGTTTTTATCTCGTGTGTTATCTTTGCATGTTAGGTGTTGTTGTGCGAGTTGATACAAGGTGTGGTTTGTCCCTTTAGCCATTAATGGAGATAAATAGTGCCGAAGGTTGTGTGGTACAAGACAAAAGTGCCATGGTAAAATTTTAGAGTATTCAAACGATAGGTTATTCGGGTTGATTTTAAATTAGTCATGTCGTTTGCACCTCATGTCAATTTAAGTCCCCGTAGGTTTAGTTTTGTCTCGATTGTATCGTCCGGATGAGTCATTTTAATCCCTATACTTTTAATTTTTTTCAATTAGGTCCTTGTCTCTAATAATTTTAGTCCTATTTTCAATTACTTTGATTGTATACTCAATTGCTTTAATTTCGATTATGTTTTGTTCAATTATGCTCTTGATGTAATTAGTTTTTTGATATTTTGTATTTTTTATTCTTAATTCTTTTTCCTTTTTAATAGTAAATTCCAAAATAAAAATGAAATAAAATACAAATTAATAATAAGAAAATAAACCAAAATAAAGTGAAAAAAAGACATAAAAAAGAATTATTATTATTATTAATTTTTTATTATTATTATTTATTTATTTATTGGAGGTGGAGGGGATTGGGATATGACAATGAATTCGATCCAAATTAAATATCTCCAAACCATTTGAATTTCAATAAAAGCCAAATATCATTTGCAGACCATTCCTCTATGCGATAAAACCTCTTCGTTGATTTTTCGGCTCCGTTAATTTAGGTACTTCAATCTCTCCGTTGATTGAGCAACATTGAGGATTTGAGCAGATAAAAACTTCCACAACAACTTTTTATAATTGACCTAACAACCCGTGGGAATCTTAGGCCTACAAGGTGATGACCATATAACAATGTTAGCCCAATAAAAAAAAATTAAAAAAAAAAAGTCTTACCAATCATACCTCAATATTTTATTGTAATTGTAATTAGTTTTCTTGGTAAAGCAAGGGTGATTTAGTATTTTAAGTTTATTATACAAGAATATCATTCCCAGTATTAAAAATTGTTTGAAGAATAAAAAACTCTTTAATAACTTACTGGGAAACTTAGACATTTTCTAGTGATGCAATCTGTTAGCTGTACGTTTAATTAAACAAATGTTTCTTAAATAAAAAAAAAAAATCTAAACTATGATAAACTTTGAACAAGTCTTTGTCTCATAATCTGTAGATTCAATCCAGAGTATATAATCATTTGTTTTGTTGGGCTCACTACAAATTTGACAACCAGTTCTATACATAAAAACTTAAAATTTCATTGCAAACACAACTAATCATAAGTGTTTTCATTACTCCTAAATCAATTTTTTGAAACTGTTAAATAATAATATAAAATCATTCTTAAAATCTTACCTAATTGATTAAGTTTGAGATTGTTATGTGACAAAAGCATAAATCATTAATAATAAAATGGTTTTTTTAGAAAAAAGTTTTCCTTTTTCTAATTTTTATTTTATTTTTGCCTCTTTTTTCCGCCAAGCTGAACTTGTATTTGTATGTATATATATATATCCTGATCTTGTCAAAGTAAGGGATGGATCATCAAATGTATACTTTGAATAATAAAAAAAGGGAAATTATGAAATTATAGAAAGAACACTTGTGTCCTCCACAAAAACAAATGTGGCAATCATTATCGAACATGGGCGCCACCCCATTGTCGACCCTTTATACCCCTCCTAATCTAACTACTCCCAAATCCTCATAATTATAAATATACACTGACCCCATCCTAAAATTCCTGAATGAAAGGTTCAAATTCTAAATTCTGCAAATGCAGACTTGGTATGCTACCATCTCCATTTTTATCTTTCTCATTTCCAGCACCCATGCTGTCATCTCAAGACGACCAAATCCCTACCTTAGCGCAGCAAACCAATTCTTAGCTTCTCAAAATGCTGCCCGTGCCTCGTTGAGGATGCGACCGTTAGTGTGGGATGCAAAGCTGGCCCGTTACGCACAGCGGTATGCCAACCAAAGGCGACAGGACTGTGCGTTGAAGCACTCTAATGGACCATATGGTGAGAACATCTTCTGGGGTAGTGGCAGCGGCTGGACTCCTGCTCAGGCGGCCGCCGCCTGGGTGTCGGAGCGTAAATGGTATAATTATTGGTCTAATTCTTGTGCTGGGAATCAAGAATGTGGACATTATACTCAAGTTGTGTGGAGGAATACAAAAAGAATTGGGTGTGCTAGAGTGAATTGTTTTCGTGGAGGAGGTGTTTTCATGACTTGCAACTATGATCCTCCTGGGAATTATGTTGGAGAAAAGCCCTATTGACTGTGTTTCTTGAAATTTTGTCAATATGTTTTTTTTTATTATTATTATTATTATTTCTTTTTTTCTTTTTTGTGGAAATCTCATATGATAATTAAATTATATCGTATGACGAAGTGATGGTGATTGATGTGTTCAGCTGTTCTCCTTGACACAATTTTCTCCTCCTTTATTATATGTATTTAATGTAAAATAAATTTCAATATAACAAAAAGGTTTCTTTTTTCAGTATTAGCGCTGTGGCTTCTTATCTTCTAAATTGCCTTTCAATGTTGTATAGCTTCAGTCTCTCGGTTCCTACTTTGTCGTCATATCCTTTTAGTCTTGGCTTGTTTTTCTGTCACTATGATCTTGATCTTTAATCTTTTGGATCCCGTGCCTTTATTATTTATGTGCCTTTAATTCTGAAGTATGCTAGCTACTTTTAGATGAAAAACTACCCTGTAGTTACTACTATTATATAAAGGAAGCTGCTTCTATAACATTGAGAACATCAACTTACCCATTAATATGAAATCAGGCCATGTAAATTAAAAGAACCAACCAACTGGTCTAAATGCACCAACTGAAGTTACCAAGGGAAACTGGAAACGAAGTCATAGAGTTTTTTCTCAAACCAATACAATCTTAAATTTTTATTCCTTAACTCAGGTGTTTTTAAACTTATTTCTCAAACAAATGTATTTTTTTGTCATATAAGATTTTTTCATCCACATCATTTTTTCTTAATTATTGAAAAATAATTTCATTATATTAAATAACTTTATCTTTATTTTAAGATTTTATTAATTAACAAATATAAAAATGCTAAGACCTCTCTTTTTAGGGAAAAAAAACTTTCATTCTTTTAGAGTTAGGAGCTGGCAGCTAGCCCCAAAACGTTTTTTCTTCTTGTTTCTAAATTTCTTTTGAGATGTAGTTTTTTTTTTTTTTACCGTACTTGTACAAGACCTTGACAGAGCCATGGACTTACAAAAGAAACCATCTTTAATACTACAGCTGAAGTCCATTCTCCAATCACAAAAACATCAGTCTCTCCTTCTCAGAGACCTTGAAAAGGCAGTTGGGTTTGTTCAAAAGTATAACTTTATGTCTATCATTGAAAATTACCCACCAATTTCTCATGGTGGTGGTGGCAGTAACAGTAGGACACCTCTTTTTGTTACTCTCACTGAGAAAGTTGAAAAGATTGCTAGAGAAGAGGCTGGAGCTAGGGAGTTGATGGAGCCCATTTTAGTTAAGAATCTAAGAAAGTTATCGAGGAAGGTAGTTTTTTTTTTTTTTTTAACCATACTTGTACAAGATGGATGCAGTTGAAATATTTGAAGCTACTATTGACCGTAAATTTATGATGGAAATATTATTAGAGAGGATTTGTTAATTAATAGAAGGGATGATACTAAAATTGATAACAAAAATTATTGGGTATAAAGATTTTAGAAAAATAAGAAAAATTCAAGAAATTTATTTTACATCATTATATAGATAAAAAAAAAAAAACAGAGAGAGATAAGAAAAGAACAAGAATAGAAAGAAGAAAAAATTAATACAAAGAAAAAATAGTAAAAAAAAAAAAAGAGATTAATATGTGATGATAAAACATTTATTTAACAAAATGATTTAAAAAAAAAATGACATGTCAAGTTATATAAATGAGATGGATCTTATATAGCATAGAATATCTTATTTTAATAAATAAGTTTAAAAATATCTTATTATTATGATAGATAAGATTTAAAAGTATTTTACCATGAAAAAAAAAAAAAAACTCGAAGTCATAATGCTATATAGGTAGCACTAGTTTTTTTGTCTGCATTATGTCGTAGGATGGACAAAACATGTAAAATTATTTAAAAAAATCATTTTAGTTTAATGGTTCATGCTATATTGTAGGCCCATAAAAACACATAAAATCAAAAGTTAAAAAAAAAAAAAAAATCCAATTTTATAATATTTTATTCAAACTTTTTTATCTAACTATTTCTTTTTTATTATTTTCATAATTTTCTACTTGAAAAATACTAATTCTTCTTTATTCAGGGGTTCTTAAGTAAAAAGAGAATTAAAAATTAAAAATTATTCTTTATATATTTATTAAGAAAAAACACTAATATTAAAATAAAAAATTATATTTGAATAATTGAGTTAATTATGAAAAAACATAATTTCATATATTTAATTTAAAAGAAATTGATTTAAAATATCTATAAATAAATAAATAGTAAAATGCTTAGTGCTATAGTTGCATAGTTGATTTTGGTAAAAACAAATGATTCAATTTTTTATATTATAAATAAATCGAGTGGGCTTAGAGTCTAGGTTGTAAAACAAAAGATAATTAAAAAAGTTACTTGTAAGTAATATGTTGAATAAATTTGAAATTTATAGATTAAAATGAAATTTATTAAAAAAATAATTCTTATAAATTTTGAAATAAAGAAATATTTTCTCTTATTTTTTATTTTTTTCTATATGTTAAACCAAAAAAAATCGAAAAAATAGAAAATAAAATTAAGTAATCAATTTTTAAAATTATAGAAACTAATTAATTCATTTGTGGAAACAACATGGACCAATTTTTAATTTATTCTTGATTGCAATTCTTCGGTGCGAAAAACAAACGAAGAGAGAAAAAAAAACAATGAACGACAGCATTTAATGCTTTGTCTAATGGCAAACAAAGGAAATGATCGAAAAAACGTAAGAAGCAAATTAAAAGCTAATCAATCAAGGGTAAATGTGAAATTTCATAATTCCACTGACTGGCATGATAGAAATTAAGAAGAAAATGAAAGGGCTTTTGTATGCAAAGCAAAAAATAATAATAATACGAAAGAAAACCCAAAACTCGTATGGAAAGGAGGAAAAAAAAAAAAAGATGTCAACAGTTAAAACAGAGGAAGTGAACAGTCTAAAAATAGTGAAATGCTCATGCTTTTTAGTTTCTTTCAATGATTGATGTCACCTTGTGACTTCTGAGTTGGTACCAATAGGGTCAGGGTCAGGGTCAGCCTCCTAATAAGCAGAGATGAAGAGGCCCTTGATTGATGTCACACTTTGTATTTCATTTTCGAACTGGGCCGTTACCTCAAGAAGGATATTAGGTTGTCATTTAGCAATGCAGATAAAGTTTGGGTTGTTGCCCAGAATTAGCCCAAACTTTTGGGCATAGCAGAGATCTTACCTTATCCCTAGGTATAACGGCGTGCCCTAAATGCACCTTTTTAACGAGAAATGCGAGAGGAACTTCATGGGCTAATTTCTTGGACTGCTTATAATTATCTTATGTTTTTTTATTCTTATTCGGACTAGTTTTTACGGTAATTGAAATAAAGTTTTTTTTTTCGAGATATATTTTCATTAAAGAAATAATTTCTTCGAGAAACATTTTTAAAATTTGCATTCAAAAGATTAAAAAAAATTCAAACATATTTCATTAACCAACAAATAAAACCCTTAAAGTTAATATGTTTTTTATAATTATATCCCTAATTGATATTTTCTCCTAAAAGCCAATAAGGCTATTATATATGTTCATGGTTGCTAACTTTGAAAAATTTTATAATATTTAAAGAATAATTAATATACATGTACAATAGTTATTTCATGGATTTATTTTTTAAAACAAAGATAGATACATAAAAAAAAAACATTCACATCTAGATCCATTAAAAGTGATAAGAAGATTTTTACATTGGTCATTTTTTTCTCTCCTTTTTATGATTATTTTTCTCTATGAAATAACTTACACTAGTTACTCTTTGAGTAATATAAAGTTTCTCGACAACCCTAATATTGAGAATCTCTATTAATTTGTGCATTTTTCCTCAACAAATAATTTAAGAAAAGACAATTTTTCCTATTCTCCAATAATGAGATCAGCATGACTTGAACTCATATGTAGACTTCACTCCTTTAAGAGGTATCACTAGCTAGCTAAAAACCAATTTGTGTAAAAGGAACTATAATTTAGGTATAGTATATAAATTAATCATATACTGCTACATATGAAATTTTATTATAAATTCAGGTAAACACCAAATATTACAATAAGTCACTCATGTTTAAATATCTTAATCTTAATTAACATATTAAGTACAGGTACATGTATAGGATCGAAACGATTCTGAGCTCATGTATCATCCCACCCTAATAATTTCAGGCTCATAGCATTTATTAACTGGATGGATTATATATAACATCCGTTAATATGGCCTTTCACCAACATAATTACCAACAGGATCATAATTACAAGTCATAAACACATCCCCATCATCACAAACAACACGAGCGCACCCAATTCTCCTTGTTGTCTTCCACACAATTTGTGTATAGTGTCCACACATTTGATTTTCCTGGCATGTGTTTTGAGCATAATTATAGTACTTCTCTTCACCAGCCCATGCACTCACTGCATCGGTGGGTGTCCATGTTGAGCCACTCCCCCAATATATATTCTCTCCTAGCTTGAAATCATTTTCGGGAAACGAATGTTGCAATTTGCAGTCTGCTTTTCTTATGCCAGCCCACCATCTTGCATAATTTTCAAGCTGAAAGTCCCATGTTAAGGGTAGCTCCCATTTGGCTGCCCTAACTAAATTATGTGCAAACAAGAATTGTAGTGACTCTCCTATGCAGCCCCAACAAAGTTGCTTAGAGATCCTGTAAATGGTCTCGTTATCAGGCTTTCTTAACGGTGTTTGGGGTGATGAAGGTGATTGGGAAGTGGCTAGAATGTTGTTGGTAGCGAGAATGGGGAAGAGGATAAAGAGTAAGAACCATAGTGGTTTCATTTTTTTTTAGAGTACGGGTGATAGGAAGACAATCAAGCGGCTTGTGGCGCTCACTTTGGAGTTCCCTATTTGTTTTATATGAATTTCAAGAAGACATGGTGGGGTAGGATATGGCATAATGGAACCAAACGCAGTTATAGAGTGTGGATCACAATGTCCAATCATTGTGAGTTGGAATTGGATTTTATGTAGCGTAAATTGGATGGTGTCGTACAAGCATCATGAATACTCGTGGATGAGTATGAAATTAAGTTATACAAAGGGATGATCTAGGAACGAGGATGGCTCGTGAATCTGTGTTATGTTATGCCCGTGAGCATTCTCTTGTTTGTATTATGCAATGAGGATTCTAGAACACAAAACGTGGCAATATAAATTGGTTGTTTGTAAAAAAGGTGTGTGTACATATATATAGTCACTCAATTCGTACTTGAAAATTAATTAAAATTTTTAATTAATTTTATTATGTAATAATTCATGTCTTTTTTTTCTTTCGGCATAGATCCAAACTATTCAGTAAATATATTTGATTATAGATGAGTCTCATCTAATATAAAATTTAGATCGCGTAAGGATGAGCATGAATATTTTAACAAGACTAGTGTTCATGCCTTGTCATTATAATTTATTGAGAAAATTGGCTTGATAGGCTCGGAACATGGTCTACTAAAATAAAATCCAATTATTACTTTCTTTAACTTTTGCTAGCAAATGAAAGTACTTTAGCCCAAACAAATCTAGTTTTTCTAACTCAAATCCGATCATCTAATTATGAATGATGTTGCATGATCTTAGGAGTCTTAAGTCATCATCATTTTGCTATAAATATCAACCCTATATCATTATGATGAGGATTTCAATTTTCTAATAATAATTTAAACATCTAAACACTCTCTTTCAAAACTCTCCCAATGGCATGCCGGATAACATTTAAAGTTTCATTAGTTTAGACTTTGATTACCCACCTATTTGTCATTAGACTTTTGTCTTACTTGTATTGTATGCTCCTTCTTTCCTCCTTATGCATCCCACTACTTACACATATTCTACTTGTTTGGTTAATCGTTAGTTCTACAAGTCACAACATTTGTTTTTTGTATCTTAACGGGGCTACTAACCATACTATAAAAAAAAAAACTATTAAATAGCGATAGAAATTGGCAACAAACATAAATTTATCAATATACGAGCAACGAATTTGCAAGGAAGTAACGATTGTTATCAACTACAATTGATAGCGACGGACTACTAATTAATTAATGACGAAAATTTAGTGACGAAAGTGTTCCATCACCTGAATAATGTAGTAAATTTTTTGCAATTCTATAAGTGACTGAGTACTAATAAATTTGCAATAGTTTTTAGCAATAGATATTAGCTATTGTTAGGTTTGACTTCCTTTTATTGGCAATAGAATATTCCATCACAAAATATTTTATTCTCCATCATATATCAATAGTAAATTACATTGCTCGGATTGCGACTAATTAGTGATGGAAAATTTTGTCACTAATAGGTAAAAACGATCATAAGATTTTGGCAATTCAAATGACAAATGACATTAAAATCTGTCGCTAAAAGACTAAATTTAGCAACAACATAATGACAGAATAGTATCCATCACTAAAAAAAATCCCTAATTTGGATATAACACTCTTCTTCCTAAATTTTCTTCTCCCTTCTTCTACTTAAATCCCCATTGCACTTTTTTCCAACATCGCTAATGACTACAACTCGGTAATTTCGACCTTGCCACCCCTACTAAGTCCCCTCATACCATAGCCTCCTCCATTACGATCTAAAACCATTCATCGACCCTTCCTCTACACTCTAGCAGACCACTTTAGCCACCCGTTGATATTCCAGTCGACGTGTCTAGCCGGTTCAAACGCTCGAGCCACTATGCTATCTCATATTTATATCTAACCACCACTCCATAGCTATAACATCATAATAACCACCACTCCACAATTATAGCACGACGATAGCCACCACTCCATAGTGGTAGCCCCACTAAGACAGCCTACCACTCCACGAGCCTCAAACACTACACGTCGACCAATTTTCGGTCATTCCCTCTAACTCTTTTAGGTAAGTTATCAAAACCTTAAATTTTAATTTATGCATCAGAATATTTTATTTTAAGTTAATTGTGACAATTGAAAGTGAATTTATTTTATAAATGATTATCAAAATGTGTCAAAATATGTCATAGTGTATCAAACTTGAGGGATCGGAGACCCTTAAAAATTAAGAAGAAATAAGATGGTGTCAATGTTCTGTGATGAACCTAGGAAGACAATAATTAATTTTTAATTTAAATAGATTATTTAAGATAAGTTTTCATTCTCGATGTAGGCAAATTGATTGATTTGGTTATTTAATTATAATTGAATAAATGTGCTCGAATACACTAGTTCATGCTCGTTAATTACTTGGATTGAATGTTACTTGATGTTTGCCTATTTGGTGCTTGTATTGTGTATTTTAGATGTATTTATTGTGCGAGTGGAGTTTTTGATAGTTAAGAAATGCTTAATTTATAGGAGAGACTCCATCGATTTTTTTCAAATTTTTTGAAAAAATGGTAATTTAAGTAATTGTGTGCTAACTCGGATATACAAAAAGAAAAAATAAGGTCGGATCATGTATGAATAGACTTTAGGCTTACCAAAAGGGATTTTAAATCAAGATTTCATAAATGAGGTTATTACATTTGCTCGTTAATCATCTTGAAAGTATGGGTGGAAGTAACATAAAGTGTTTTTATAATTATTATATCGGAACTATAGATTTGAAGAGATTGACATTGTTAAAATATCATTTGGTGAAACATAATTTTGTGTTCGGATATTATGAGTAGATATATCATGAGAAAATTAAGCCAATAACTTATTTTGAGTCAAAAAATTATGATGAAGGCAAACAAATTTTTAATAAACCCTCCAATACGTATCAAACAAAGGTGATCGATGCAACTAATCCATCATTTAATCTATCTATCATGATAAGGTGCCAAATCTCGACACGTAAGCTTTTTATGATATGTTAAATGCATCAAAGAAAGAAACTTGGCTTGGATATGAAAAAATTCACGGTTATCTACCCTTGCCTCATATGTTAAATCTTAAGTTGGGATAATATTTTTCTAAAAGGTGTTACAACAACTTATGTTAGCTAATAAAGGAGTTGATGTATATTGATAACTATATGATAGATGATTTTTACATTATGAAAAAAGTTGGTGAAGGGAATGGGTTCATTAGTTGAAAAAATCCATTATAGTAACAATGGATACATGATTTATTAAGGTAAAAATAGTAAATTAACTACATATAAGTTCTATTCCCATGATCAATATCGAAGACCGAGATAGAGATCGATAAGAGCAAAATTTATTCTATAAAAAAAAAATATACTACTTTTTTCTCACTCTACGATTATAAAGATTGTATGCATTGAATACCATGGCTAAATACATGGCGTGGCATACCGACATGAGGTTGAGGATGCAAAAGTCATGTGTCATTACTCCGATTCTATTACATGACGATAATTCAATCTAACGTGTCATTCTTTTACATAAAAAAAAAATATCGGATTGAACGTGTATACTCGATGGGTTTTAACTTTTTGGTCGATCCGGTATATAATATTCTTTATAGTCAATAATTATCACATCATATAATTTACCACCATGGATATATATGAAGGAAGAATATATATTCTTAATTATAATGGTCTAAGACCAACAAATTCAAAGCATATTTTGGACATATCCTCACATCTCTTAATTATAGAGTTGGTTCACTCATGAAAAGTGGGTGTCTTGACCTATGATGTATCTCGAAAATAGAATTATCTAATGCACATTATAATTATGTGAAAAATTAGTGACTTCTCTATATATTTAATTTGTTCGGTTAGAGTATCGTAGAGAAATTAGTATGTCCTTATTGTATGGAGAATTCTAATATATTCATCCTCTCTAATTGAAGAAAGACATCATGATTTGACAATCATCATAAGTTCTTACCTATAGATCATTCATTTAAGAGGAACATGAACTCATTCATAAAAAATAGAATTGTTGTAAGCCATGCTTCATCAACCAATCGAAAATGAAGATTTTAAAGCATATAGATAATTAGATATTAAGGAAAGATATAAAAAAAAAGGTGTCAATGAGTGCAACAATAGCCTATCTAAAATTTTTGATTGGAAGAAATAGAGAGTATATTTTAAGATTTATTATATTGAAGTACTAGTCTCATTCGATACAATTTAGATATCATACTATTGAAAAAATACCTTTGATAATGTCTTTAACACATTAATGAATGTGCCAAGGAAAACTAAAGATGATGCTAACTCTAGAGAAGAATTGAAAATTTATGTCGGATGCCAAAATTATCAAGAGATGAAGATTTAAAAAAATTCCCTAAAACTTGTTTTATTCTGGATAAACAACAAAAAACGAGTCTTGCTTGAGTGGATTAAAAAAATCGAGTTTCTCGATGAATATATGTTGAACATGGCTAGATGTATGAATATAAAAAATATAAATTATATGTTATGAAAAGTTATGACTACCATATGTTTATGTAAAGATTAGTACCTATTGCATTTCATGAGCTATTACCAAAAAATATTTGGAAGGCACTTACATAATTGAGTTTATTTTTCAAAAACTTGACTTATACTATCATAAAGGTAGAAGATATGATGTGCCTTGAGGTAGAGATGCCAATAATTTTATGTAAACTAAAGCGAGATATTTCCTTTAAGTTTTTTTAACTCCATAGAGCATCTTTCAATCCACCTCACATATGAAGTAAAGATAGCAAAATCGGTGCAATATCGGTGGATGCATCCATTTGAAAAGTAATGCTATTAATTTTAAATATTAAATTAAATATTTTTGTAATAATCAATAATTTACCTAATTGATGTTTTAGGTACCTTCGCAAGATTAAAAATAATGTAAAAAATAAAGCAAA